ATGAGTGGGGGAAGTTTCAAAGTCAAGGGGGATGCTCCGAGCTTACCCACTACACACAAGACAGAAACCTACTTACGCAGGCGAACACCTGCAAACGCGCACGTTGTGTCATCTCCAGATCCAGATGTAAAGAAATAAACCTCCACAGCAACACTTTATCACATTCCTGACAGCACTCAGTAAAGCAACACCGGAGCCAAGTTGCCGCTTTCTCAGCTGTCCTCAGCACTAACATTAACCAGCCTTATTGTTGCAGGCCGCACCATTGTCTCCATTGTTTCCCCTTTAAAAGTCTGAAGTGCTATTGTGTGGCCAAAGCTGCCTTCACTTCGCGATGGAATCAAGCTGAACTTAAATCTATATAGTGCTGGGTGAATGTACCCTGAAGTACACCCTTAAAGGTATAAGTACACTAGCAGCAGCATTATTACGACCTCTAAATGTGTTATCGATTTAAAGCATGCAATCAGAGCTCCTATGATGGATTGGCAAAGTTTTAGGGACTGGATTACCGAGGTGCCAAAAAACTGTCTCCCACCAACAGCTCAATTTAAGAGGAAGTGAAGAGGGATGATGGGATGGAGGGAAAGACAGAGGAGAGGATTGGCAGGGGGTCGTGTACTGTCACATGTGTGTCCAAATTCAATGTTACGCTGATAGGTGGCGACTAAAGACTTTAGCTTTGCAGAGAAAGACAAAAGATGCACACAGACACCGAGACACAAACAACAGCTCAGACACTGATCTGAAACGCACACATCAGCACATACACACATCCACACACCAGCCGGAGCAGCTGTACCCACAGAGAGCGGGTGGAGAGATAAATGCGTGCTGAAGGCGAGACTAAAGGCGTCATTAAAAGAGGAGAGGTTGTGACAGAAATGTGTACCCAGGGATTTTCTTTTTTTTTGCTCACTTTTGTTTGTGTCAATGCGTATGCCTCTGCGTACATGCAGCCGTGCATGTGTTCAATTTCCATGCAAGCAGGTTGGCCCTCCTCTTTGACGACACACACACACACAGGCCCAGACACACACACACACAC